CGGAGAAGCGGTACTTTCGCAGGCGTTCAGGTGTGTGTGTTCAGGTGGGAAAAACTTTCAGATGCATGCGGCAACTTTGATTGCAGTTAGTCCTGCTGCTTTGAAAAGAAAATGGAAAGCTGGGGTGTGAATGTGTGCAGTACAGTTTATTCTTGTCAATATAAAATTATCACACCTGCTAATATAGATTTTTGCTATAATATATAGGATGATCATTTTCTTGATCAATATCTTTAAAAAATCTCATCATCAAACACAACAAAATGAAAAAAAATATAAAGGCTCCTCTTTTCTTTGTGTATTTCTATTTCTCTTGAATCTGCAAATAAAATTATTGCAAATCTGTGATGTTGAATAGGATTAGCGGTTATTTGCTTGCTTTACTTGGGAAAAAAAATCAAAGCTGTCTGAGACTGAGCGGCATTGGCTTCCTATGTCCCTGGGAAAAATGTGTTTGCAGTATTGAAGTCTAAGCTTTCAGAGAAATATGGCAACAGGAAGTTGCCAGAAAGTCTTATTTGCCTCGCTGAAATGTCTGTCTGCCTTAGACTTGTGTACTCAGAGGATGTTTAGTTCAAGAGGGGATGATTTTGGTACAAGAAATTCAGGTAAATTAAACATTTTATTCTAGGAAACTGCCAGCTGCGTGGATTGTCACTGGTTTAACAAACTCTGCAATCTCATTGAGAATATTTGAAAAGTATTGTTAACATAAGTGTGGTGTTTTAAAATAGCTGGGATGCATCATATCAGTGTCAGGATTCAATTTTTAGCGACACTGTCATTTAATATCAGAATGTCATGTCATAATCATCTGTGCATGAAGTAAAACTCTCCATATTTTATAAAAATCAGTTGCTAAGTTGCACGGAGACATTTTTATTTATGTAAGAATGCAGAAATGTTATGATATGGAATAAGTCACTCTTATTAGTAGTTAGGAGAGATTCATAATAGAGGTTCATAATATGATCTGGGTGATTAGAGGTCACACATTCTTTTTCTTTTTTTTTTATCTTAAAGTACTTTTCTTCTTTCAAATGTGTTCCCAACATTCATTCTATTTATCTAATTTGTTTATGTCTATATGTATATAGTATATAACGTATGTATTATTAACTCTGTTATGTTTATAGTAATCAGAATTTAAAAGAAACAGATTTTGTAAAGTAAGTGGAATAATAGTGTTTTGTTAATTTCAAGTAAAATATATATATAGGGAACATGTACTTTTACTTAACTAAATTCAGATTTTTCTAATGTGTAATCTCATCATGATGCCTTTAATGTGGTAGCAATCATGGGAAAAGCAAGCTATCTGAAATAGCTACAATTGCCACCTAACAATCTTAGTTTAAGGCAGAGTTATACAACCAGCCATTCTTACAGATATATTAGATTATCGTTCTTGTGCTGAACATTTTAAGTTTGAATTTCATGTTTTCAGAAGTGAAGTGTACTCCAAAATGTACTAGCTTATTTTTCTCTAGTTACTGAGTGTTCAGCATGTTAAGACAGGAGTGAAATGTTCAGAAAACATGCAATCACTTTGGAAGGCTATGACTACTCCTGTCCTCACCGGTGTAGCAAAGGGTGAGCAAACTTGACTAAAATCTGTTTACAGTGTGGATATAACTGAGTAGAATTACTTTCACAGGAATGGAATTGTCATTCTTGAAAAGATATATAGAGCTCTGTTGTAATTAAGAGGAGAGGGTACAGATCATTACTTTTGGTTTATATGAACTTGTTTCCACTAATGTTGGTCCTGAATTGGAGAGATTTAAAAATTTTAAACTATGGAAAACCACTAAGGAAATGGTTTTATCTAATGGATAACTTTCTTTTTAAAAGAAATTGGAGGGACTTAATTTTTGTTGATAGAAGGAAACTTTGTATTTCTAAACTTTTATTCAGATTCACTTATTTGACAAATATGTATTATTTAAATGACTTGGTTTAAAGGATTGTATTAGGGGCTGTGGGAGCTATAGGGTCTTCATTCCTACCCGCAAGGATCCATGATCTAAAAAACTAGAAAACCTTTCCTAGATAATAAGGTAGTGATTATAAGTGACATATAAGTGACAAAAGTGACAAGAGAATCTACAACACCCTCTTCTCAAGTTCATATGTTTGAAACCTTGTTCTTCAATTTACTAAACCTGGAGTCCTGGATAAGTTATTTAACTACTCTAGCCTCGGTTTCCTGGTCTGTGAGATGGGGGTTAGGGTAGATGAATCTTGCCTTATGATCTATGTGAAAATGAAATAAAATAATGTGCCCACAGCCCTTGGGTATATTGTTGTTGTTTTTTTAACTTTCACTTGGAGTTTGAGACAGTAAGTGGCCAATATCATGTTGTATGTTCCCTCCACATTTGCTTCTACCAGTATAGAACTCTTTCTCATGTTTTTACTTTCAGAGCCCTACATTTTGTGAGATTTCTTGAAGGACTGTGGAAATTCCATTTTACATGACTGAGTGCTCAAGTCTAAGGTAACAAGTTAAAAATACTAAATGTATATGAAGTATATGTGATTAAATGGACTAATAGGCTTAGTTTTATTAACAGAAATCAAAAGTGTTCATTAGAATTTCATTACATTTCAAGTTAAACTTTCTATAAGCATAAATATTTAATTTCATCTAATTTCAAAAAGGTTTATCTATAACTGAAGTATTTATAGAAAAGGTTATTATCTACTAAGATTATTTAAGTTCATTCTTCATTCTTTTAAAAAAATTAATATCTTAATTCTGCTCCTTTGAGATTTATTTCGAGTTTTGGCTTAGATTATTTCCTTTAATACTTTATATTTGGTTAAAGAAAATTTCAAGTAAAGTATTATTTTATTTCATCACCTATCAAATCTAGTTTTTTTTTCTGAATATTTTAAAACTTCATTCCAGTGAGTTTTAAGACTTACCAGAATTTCTTTACAAGTATTTGAATAATGTTTGTCAAGTGTTGCATCAAATTTATAAAGTTTCAGGCAAGAATTTATTACTTTCTTGATTTAACACTTCAGATTTTTTGTAGGAATATTTGTTCTATGTAACTTGACATATACATTTAAGTTACAACTTTGCAAGAAATTTGTTGCTAAAAATTTCTGGTCTACAATTCTTATATCCTCAGGTAAATTGCATTGGCCCACAAAATTGCCAATGCCTTCAAAGTCTTATTAGTAAGTTATTTATACTATTAGGTGGTATTAATTACAATAGTATACTAGCTTTTTAGATCAGAACATTTTAATTTATTTGATTAATATAATGCAAATAGGACAATGCTAGAGATACCTGCACAAAATACATGTTCTCCAAATATTCCTAAATATCGTATTTGCTGGTTTATTGAAGTAAAATATATTTTAATAGCTATACTATTATAATGAAGAGTTACTTTTGGTAATTCCATGAAAAACACTTACATTATGATTTCATAAAAAATAAGTATGCAATTTTTGAGTGGTACATTTTCTCCACCTTTTTCAAAACTTAAAAGTCACAAAGCTAGTTTAATTTAATTTTCTAAAGGCTGAGGTTTTCCTCATGAAAGAAACATGGCTCAAGGCCAGTGTGTAAACCTCACTTCATCCTTTTTTATTAGATGTATCATATATGTACTCAATTTTTAGAGTAAATTCTTGGCATGAGATGAAACTTAGTTTTCTTGTCATGGTATCCAGAACCAGATCAAAATGAACTGGTTAATTATTTAAGTGGAATAAATAGTATTTTCATCCCTGAGATGTAGAGTAAAGAGAGTAAGAAAACAAAAAAATGAACAAGTTTGTTATTGAAAACCTAATTTGTAAAAGAATACTATCAGCTAAAAAGATGCATCTACTGTGTGCTTTTTTGTCTCTATAGTATATTTGGTGTGAATTAGAATGAAGGTGTGTAGCTCTCTTAAATTTCCTTCTTTCAAATAGCAAACAATGGTAGGGAATTAGTTTTAACATTTCTATTCTGAAGGAGGAAAATGGGGTGAGGATGAAATATGCTCAAGAAGAAAATAAAATCAAGAAAGATTGAGGCTGACAATATGACTACTGTAGAAAGAGGGCAAAAATTAGAGTATACAACCTTTTATGCACAGAGCCCTTGATCTTTTTGTGTGTGAGAGATACCAGTGTCTACCAAAAGGGTTAAAGAAAATGCATTCTGTTGCATCTGCTTACTAAATCCCTTACTTTAGTAGAAATTCAAATTTTGTAAAGATTATTCGTTTTATTGATGCATATAATTATAATCACAAGCCATCTGCTGATTTGGCAGGCATGGTTAAAATTCTCTAACTCTCATAACCTTTCAAGTACAGTGCCCTTGGGACTCTATTTCACTTTTATATTTTGGAAAACATGTAGGGACAAATAAGGGCGGTCATCTGCAGAATGTCAGACCTGAGGAAATGAAAGAATGGAGATCAGGGTGGCTGTTGTGGGTATTTTTAATTGTAGGAGAAATTATTTTTTTTCTCCTTTTTTCTTTTTTTGCTTATGACTTCATGAAGGATTATTCTAGTTTCTATGATGTATTTGGGAATTTTTTTTTCCTAGGGATTAAAGCTCTATCATTAGTCTAAACAAAACAAACAAATGAAAAAAACCCTTCCAAATATTGCTTACATTTGTTTTCACAAATAAATTAAATGTGTTTAAGTAGATTTTTTGAATAGAATATTCCACTGTTTTTATTTTTCTGAAATTCTCACACTCAACTGATTGCCTTCCAGCCATGGATTTTAGATTGTAGAAGAGTTTGTATGTTTTGATACAGCCTTTTTGGTTTAAAGAGTCAAATTTCCAAGTGGTTTTTTTTTTTTTGTATGAAATTATGTACTGACCGGAATTTTTGTATGAAATTATGTACATGGCAGGCATCTTCTTGTGGCCCTTCTTTGCTACCATCAAACATTTCATACCTGATTTACTTACTTCCTTGGAAATATTTCTTCCATTATCAACCTATCAACTAGGGAAGCCCAAGGGCCAGGTGTTACAGGTTAGAGTTGGTCTCTGGGCCACATCACAGCAGACTGCAAGTAGGCGGAGGGAAATGTGGAGAAGCCACAGGACCCTAGGGTTTGTCTTTGTCAAATAATGGAAACATACACAACCCCCCCACCCCTCACTCCCACCAACTTTCTCTCTCTCTCTCTCTCTCTCTCTCTCTCTCTCTCTCTCTCTCTCACACACACACACACACACACACCTTAAATATTTGCCCCAAGAACAATTTCTTACAGTTTGGCAAATAACAGAAAGAATTTGGGGTACAAACACTGATTTTTTTTTTTTACAAACGACGATGATATATATGACAGTAATAATAATCTTTAACATTTACTGAGTTCTTACACTGTGCCAGGCGCTGTGTTGTTTACATGTATATATAATTTAATACTCATAATATTTCCATTGAAACCCCTTTTTGCAGAGGAAGCGACGGACTGAGAGACATTAAGATGTTTTTTCTTAGGTCCCCAGCAGGATAGAGGCTTGAGCCCAAATCTAACTGTTCCCCAAACCCATGCTTTTAATCTCTCCCGACGCTACATGGCCTCTGGGCACAAACTATAAGAAAAAGAAAAACAAAACAAAACAGTGTCCCAAGTACACCTGGGTTCTAGTCATAGTGAAATGTCATTAAGTAGTTAAATGATCCTGATGAAGTGATTTGATGGATCGCTTTATTTCCCTTGTAGGTAACATCTGTCACATTAAGGGTTACAGTAGGTGCACCCTGGACTCTCTTCATTCCTCAAATTCTAAAGCTCTATGAACTTTTTATGATTAAAACATCCCATGAATTTGAAAAACAATTCAGCCACAGCACTAGCCTTTCCTCTACCTCTCTAAGATGTACCTGTTTAGCCTGCCAATTGCTCTTGATGTCAGAAGTGGTCATTCTTAGAACCATACGAGCCTTAGCGCTATCATATTAAAACTCAAACACTCGGCCAAACTAGCTCTGTGAGCACCAACACAGATACTTAGAAACATCTGGTAATTCAGTTCTTCCTCTGAGTATGTTGGTGCAAAGCAGAATGTTTTTTCTCAATAATAATAATAATAATAATAATAATAATAATAATGACAAGATAGCACTGACATAGACCCAACCACTCTTGTAAAACCTTTATGTCTGTGAATTCTTTTAATTCTCACAACAACCACAACCAGAGCAGCAGCTGAGAAGATTGCCCCGAGAAGAGGCACTGCAGTGTGTCCGAGACTCCACACCAGGGCCACGGTCAGTGTGCCCGGACCACACACATTTGGCCTCTGTGGGGGAATGCTTATTTCACTTTTGCTCGAAATAATGTTTGGAAACATAGATTACAGGTTACAAAAGGCTTAGACACTTTGTAGTATGTAGTTATTTGTTTTTATTATTCTTTTCTTTTAATCCTTACCCGAGGATATTTTTCCATTGATTTTTAGAGAGATTGGAAGAGAGAGGGAAAGTCAGAGAGAAACATTAATGTGAAAGAAACGCATCGATTGGTTGCCTCCTGCACACTCCCTAACCAGGGCTTGGGCCGGGGAGGAGCCTGCAACTTCAGTATGAGCCCTTGACCCGAATCGAATCCAAGAACCTTTGGTCCACAGGCCAATGCTCTATCCACTGAGCCAAACCTGCGAGGGCAATTTTTTTATTTTAGATCTTAATTAGCAGTTGTAATACTCATAGAGTTTCCTTAAATGATTTTAGATTAACCTGAAAGCCTTTAAAAAAAATCATTTGCAAATAGCCTGTTGAAAATATAATACTAAGTAAAAAGAGTCAAGTTAATGAGGTCAGACCAAAGTCCTTTAAAGAAAACTATTTAAAATTATCTTATTCTCAGTATCTAGCAGAGAAACTTTGAACATATTGAGAAACACACAAGTGCTTGTTAAAAGAAAGAATTGATGTCTGAATGAGGAGTTTCAACCACAATAGAACTCTTCCTAGGTTGATACCACATCAAATTCATAAGAAATTAAGGTATTTTATGGATATGATTTAAGATATGGTTGCATTTTATATCGACTAAAGTTGCCAAGAGAGTGAAGTCAAAAAAGTAAATATCAGCACTAGAAAATTGTGAAGAGGTTATTTAGATTCTGTACAATGAATTGACTAAGAAATATATATGTTCCTCGAAGGTACCAGAAGTATAGAGAATGGATATAAGACATGGCATGTTCAAGGACTTTATGGGCCAATGTAGAGGACCAAGGCTCTCCCAAGCTTGTTTATGTGATAGGGGAAGCTTGTACCATCATGGCCTGTGCAAAAAAACAGTAGACTGTGACCACATGAAATTCCTCTCTGCCACTTGGCCTTAACGTATGAGGGGCCAGAGAATCTCACCAGACATAGTCAATTCTATTTTTACTCTAAAGATAGAGTTGTGGCCCAAAGAATAGAATGACCACCTTTCTTTAGAGGTAGCTTCTGGAAAGATTTCAGAGAAGAGGCATTTAAAGATTCACGAATCC